AAAATAGCTGCAAGAGCTAAAATTAAAAAAAAATCTTGTCCGGTCGTCACAGGTCAAACTGCTGGCGGGATTTCAGGAGTTATCAGTACCATCCCTTGTTGTGCACATTTCCGGCACGTTTCGCTTTGCTGTACGAAATGGTCTTCAGAGCTAAAAATAGAAAAAAAAATTCCGGGCTTCACAGGTCATACTACTGGTGGGATTTCAACCAAACTTTACAGGAGTGATCAGTACTATCTTTGTTTTTGCACATCTCTGGCACGTGCTGCTTCGCTGCACAAAATGGCGCCAGAGATAAAATATAAAATTCTTGTCCGACTTTTACAGGTCCAACTACTGGTGGGATTTCAACCAAACTTTGCAGGTGTGATAAATACCATTCCTAGTTGTGCACATCACCTGCACGTCCCGCTTTGCTGCACAAAATGGCCGCCAGAGCTAAAATATAAAATTCTTGTTCGGCCTTCACAGGTCAAACTAATGGTGGGATTTCAACTAAACTTTACAAGAGTGATCAGTACCATCCCTAAGTGTGCACATTAGCTGCACGTTTGACTAAGCTGCACAAAATGGCCAGTATGAATTTTGTCGTGTTGGGCTTTCTTTACGGATTCTCTATTGCTCTATTACCATGTAAATCCGTCATCACCAGTTTCCATTTATTATCTTGGTAACCGTTTCACACATTCAACTCTAATTTGACATATGAATATATCATAGGAAAATGCAGGTCAAGTTTAAAGTTGGATATGGTCCGATGATTTTGCTGCACAAAATGGCCGCCATAGCTAAATATATAATTCTTGTCCGGCCTTCACAGGTCAAACTAATGGTGGGATTTCAACTAAACTGTACAAGAGTGATCAGTACCATCCCTAAGTGTGCACATTAGCTGCACGTTTGACTAAGCTGCACAAAATGACCACCAGAGATAAAAATATAAAACATCTTGTCCAGCCTTCATAGGTCCAACTACTGGTGGGATTTCAAATTTTCAGGATTGATCAGTACCATTCCTTGTTCTGTACATCACCGGCATGTTTCGCTTCGCTTCACAAAATGGTCGTCAGAGCTATAAATGCTATAAATGGAAAAGTCTTTTTCGGCTTTCACAGGTTAAGCTTCTGGTGGGTTTTTAATGCAACTTCACATGAGTGGCCATACTTGGTAACGGGAGACATATGTTTTGTGACAAAAACCCTTCTAGTTCATATTTTGTTTATATATAGCATCTATATTGAGTGTGAAAATTATATACAGTATAGTGGATTCTGTGAAGCCATGCTTTTTTAAGATTTTAAGAAAAGTTTTATATATTCACATAAGTTGTACATAGTATATTTTCTATTTTTAAATTAGCTACACTGAAATTTAAGCTTCCATCCAATGAGAAAAATGTGCAGTCTTTGTAATTTTCAATTTAAAATAGAAAAGTGTTGAACTATCAAGCTTTTTTTCTCTCTGGTCTTACAAACTCATATATAATCATCATATCATTAGATAAAAATATCAAATGTATTGCTCAAATTATGTGTGTATGATGTAAGTTGGGACGTCAATTGGACAGTCACCTGATTTATTTTCGGGTCAGTCCCGGATATCCAGGTCGTGATGGCATGTGCGTAATAATTTTATGATTCCTGTCCAGTCTATACAAGTGATACAATATATATATATATATATATATATAATATATATATATATATATATATATAATATATATATATATATATATATATAATATATAATATATTATTATATATATATATATATATATGTTCAAACACTGTTGATATACAAATATGAATTTGTTTGTATGTGTTTTTCTTCATCTTTTCGGAAAAGAAAATTATTTAGTGAATAATATTGTGATGAAAATGGAATTCAAATTTGCTCAATTTATGAAGACTAAGAGAAAAAGAAAACAGTATTTGTTTTTCTGTTCAATTTATTGTCTTTGTATGGATACGTTTTATTTGTCATGTTTATAAAAAAATATTGAGACAATGGCAAAATATTTATTATTGTTGATAAATTTAAAGTTAACCAGATGTTTATTAAGAGACTTTATAACTTAAAAAGATGAAGCCCATTAGTATTCTTAATTCTGTTCATTGTATTATACTGTATCTACCTATTTATTAATTTTGTATTTTGTAATTGTTTATGTTTTTGTTGTGAAAATACTTTTTATAAACTTATTCTTATTTTAATTCTTTTTTAAACCTGGATTCTATTATTCGAGATGTTTAGTTTTGCTTGGTTTGTATTATGATGGCCATGTCTTTAATTGTTTTAGTCAAATTGAAAATGTCCTTTTGCTTTACTCCCTTAATACATTAATATTGTTTGTGCTGCTTCAAAATATAAGTGTTCAATTTTACTCCTTTTCATTATTATACATGATAATACAAGACATTATTGTATTAGTTAGGCTGTTGTGATAATGAGTCATCTGTGCCATCACCACTATATAACTTTTACACGGTAGGACTTCTTTTAAAAACACAAATAGCTAGAGCTTAGATATTAAGCTTGAAACATCTTCAGGTGAGTGTCTACAAAGTTTGTTCAAATAAAAGCCCTGGGATCAAAATTGGCCCCGCTCTTGGGGTCATTGATTTTCTTTATATGTATATAAGATCACCGAAGAATCTAGAGCAACGATATTAAGTATGAACTATCTTCTACTGAGTGTCTACAAAGCTTGTTCAAATAAAAGCCCTAGGATCAAAATTGGCCCCAAGGGTTCATTGATTTTCCCTAAGCAAAAGCAACCAATAATGTTTTTTTTCAGATGCACTATTTGAAATACAAATATGAACTTTGTGATATTATTTTAAGATTAATATTTTATATCTGCTTCTATTTATAGTTTACAATATTTCTTAGTTTCTGTATTCAGGTGAGCGATTTCAGGGCCATCATGGCCCTCTTATATTACAAATCCATTAAAATGAATGTCATGTTTTTATGTGACCACCTGTATATCAATAATCTGCGGCAAACTTGTCTAGCTGGACATGATAAAAAATATTGTTATATCTTAGAAAAAGAAGCTTTAGGAATAGTAATTATTCAACCATGACTATTCAAAAATACCGGCATATGTTTTCATTATTTGCGATGAATATATTTAAGATTTATTACACTATACTCGTGTTGTTATAATTTAACGTTAGTTTTATTTTATCTATAGTCCAAAGGAAATGTCATCGGCGAGCTAGTTTATAGGACATTCGGTAAACTTCATTAAACTTTTTTTTATTTAATGCCTTTGCCAATCCAACATTTATTCTATTGTTTACATCGGTAATTTGATAAGCCAGATATGAATTCCTTTGTTTTTAACCGGATTGTGAAATGCAATAGATTTGCGAATTCTCAAAGGAAAATGTCATACCTTTAGAACAAATGGAAAACTGTGTGCATTATTTCTTTTGCTAGGCAATTACTTAGCCATAGATTTACAAATTTTCAAAATGTTTCGCACAATTGTCAACATCGATAATGGATTTCGAACAAAACCCAGAATATTACTCAAAGACCACGGTCTATTTGGGTGTCATAATAGATAATATACAGTTCAATTCTGCTTGTCTTGATTGTTACTTAGCCATAAATTTACGTTTCTAAAATAATTTTGTACATATGTCTACCTTAATAAAGACTTTTGTGGGGAAGAAACAGAATTGTAGCTCAAAGGTCAAGGTGATACCTATGGGTCGAAGTGAAAGAAATTATTCTTTTTACGTTTATCCGGGCTGTTACTTTACAGATTCTTTAATGAATGTCAAAGCTGTACTAAGTGTCAGATATGTAGGCCATTTTGTCTGTCCAATTTAACTTGGCATAGACGTCTATGGATATTAATCAGTTAGTGTGTGCAATAATCAGAATCATAGCTCAAAGGTAAAGGTAATAAGGGTCAAAGGCGACATTTGTTACCGGACTACAAAGAGAGGTAATTTTCGCACACTTATTGAAATATGTACATTTGGAATAAATTAAAGGAAAAATTATAATTATGATTATTGCATCAACTCCCTAGTCATATCATTATACCAGTGGTTACATCATTTTGAGTAAGCGGGCTCGACACTTAACTTTCTTGCATATAATTGATCGAGCTAGCATGTTAACTATTGTCATTTTGTCGACTTATGGCTTTTATCAGATTGATTGATAAAGCAAAGCTGAAACAGAATCTGTTAAGCGTATAATATTTTCCCAGCTATTATCGAAACATTATTTCAGGCAAAAATGCATAAAAGCCTGTTATCCACCACAAAAAAGGTTTTATAAAAATATTAAACACTATTAATATTATGATTTAATGTTACTCTCGTGGAATAGTCTATAATCTTTCAGAATTACTATATGAAGAGTATAATAAAGCCTTACGGTTTGATAATGTAGTATACACGGAATATATATATATACCATGGGTATTGGGTAACTGACGATGAATGAAGCTATTTCCATATGCATCCAATGTCACATAATTGTGCGATTGTTTTCTGCCAATTTATCACATTTGGTCGGTCAAATACCAGTATGTCATTTCTAAGAAATAAACTCTAATCTTGATTTAACATGAACTAGTCTTTCACAAATGTGATCTTATCACGCACATGGGTTTCGAAAAGAAAGATTTCAATATCTGATGTGTATCGAGGTATATGCGTAAGATAGAAAAATAGATATTGAGACGTGGCTGCAATAAGTATTTAAGGCAAAAAAAGAAAACGACTCGTTAAGTATTACGGGAACATTATCTCTTGAAAAAAAAATGAAATAAAAATTATAGACCTTCTGGATCAACATTTGTTTCAAGATAAAAACAACACATGGTATCAAACGTGATGTATCGAAAAATTATTGTTCTGTTCTGTTCAAATACATGTAACGAGCTAAACGCAACAGAGAAGATAACGCAGCAATAAATTTTACAATTTTTAATCAAAGAAAACAATAAGTTACAATAATACAAAAAATATGAAAGTTAAGTTTAACTTACAATTGTTTACGATACAAATTTAACAAAATTAATATTCTAAAGTTTGACTTATAGTTTGAAATTCAACTGTTCACAACTTAAATTTAATTAATGTTCAATGTCAACAGCAAAATAAATACAATTTGTCCAAAACACTTTCCACACAGAATTACAGAATTTAAACTAATATATTTTTTGTTACCTTTACGATATTACAAGTAAAATAGCAAACAGTAAGTATATTGACATAACACAATATTATAAATTAGCACACACCTTGAAGTACAAACATTTATTATATATATTCTATTAATGAACAATCTAGAATACTAAACTACTTAGAGAACAAATATTCTAGAATTAACATGAAAAGAACTTCTTGAAAGAGGATGAATGAATATGAAAAATTATATAAACATCAAATGAAAAAAATTATTAAAAATGATAGGGGCGTGGGTAGGTATTGAGCCCACAAAATTGACATTATTAGTTCTGCGTTCTAATTACTGAGCTATTCAGGAAATTTATACTTATTACATTCAAAATAAAGCCTTTATACATAACATACAATAAATATAAAAAAATATATAAAGATAAAAAACGACACATAGTTTTACACATATAGTAACGGTACCTCTGACTCACATGCTGTGTGTAAAAAGATATAGTATATATAGTTATTATAATTAGTACTCAACGGTGATTTATTTATGTTTTTGCCAATAAATTATTTGACTTTGACTTTGACTATGTTTGTTGGACATCAATGCTCTTTCAGACCGTACACTTCAAAAATTCCCGTTTTCAATCTTAGTGTTATTTTTCCATTTTTAACGATTCAACTTGTAAAGCAACCCTCTTATCAGTAATCCAACGTTATACATGTCATCATTAAAGTCTGTTTTATTTTTACAAATGACAGGCTTTGTCAAAATACAGATGCTTTTGTCGATCTGAAAAAAGGTACCAAAGAACGTCTACATGTATTATTTACTTGTTAATATAAATTATAAAAGGACGTACTTTTCTTCAAAAAGGTCATAAATCTTGAAAATTGATATAAAAAAAATACTCGTCATTTATTAACATCGTACTTTCAAAGTGAATTGGTCTACAATATACACATTTTCCATTAATATTTCAAAAATAAATCATTTCTTATCAAATTTGTCTTGAAAATAGATTTGATAAAGTTATTTGTGGATTTGTATGGGCATATATATGATGAATATTAATATTTGGTTTTAGAACCATTAATAATCCGCTATTTAAAAACATGTACAATGTACTTTGCGGTTTTTTATGATACTGAATACTATCAACACAATTATTTGTGGACTTACAGACCTTCTTTAATGAACCATTTATTTCTTGAAATACTTGCATATGAATGGGAAATTACTTTTAACAATTCTTCTATTAACGTGTAAACAGATCTTTTAAATGTAACTTTGTCATCTCATTATGAATTGAAAACAAGTTATACCTGTTGTGTCATCTGCGTTTGAATGAGGATGTCATCTTCTGAAATCGCTTTCAAAACTAAGCTGTTGTCATGTAGAAGGTCTTCAAATTTGACGATATGATAGACTATGGCAATTAACTGTTTTACTTGTAGCTTCTTTTTACGTTGAATATACGATAGCGACTGAAAGGTTTTGATGTCTTCTTTTCTTGATATGGAAATGTACTTGTGTAATCCGACTATCGACCGAGAAATATCTGAAGTATGCATATAGATGAACGAATATATTCTAATATCACGCCGAACTAATAAAGTAGGGGTACTGCTGAATAACGTTTTTCGTTTTAAATAAATATTACCCTAAACAAGACATCTTGTAACCAGTTAAACCTGACTAATGCACGAGCTTTTTAGTCCAGTTTCGTGTCAATGTCTTCTATATGACAAAAAGCGAAAATCGGACTCTCTAAGAATGCCAAACGTCAAATATTGATAATGTTGCAGACTTGGTTTAATTGAGCCTGATCTTGGACAGTAGTGGTATAAGCAAGGTTCTGTGCACGTCATTTGAAGCATAGGGTTAAGCAGTGTTAATCATTAAAAAAAAGAAATGGTAAAATTTTTAATAGAAACACCCGCAGATGTTTTATACGGCAGTGAGCACGGAACTTTCAATGTGTCACGTTCGTCTCATTCCATGATTTTTCAAGCGGCATATTTTCCCGGAATAAAATAATGCTTGAGATCTGAATTCTTGAAAAGGAGTCAGAGGTTATTCAGCCTCAATAACAAAGATCGTCCGTCAAAAGAGATGTGTGAAGTTGGGCCGAAAAATTCACAAAAATTATGAGATATAAAACTTTTCTGAAAATGATTTTTCTGAAATGTAAGGATACTTTTTAAAACTTTCTGAGTTTACATTTTTTCTGCATGTTGTAAGACTGCTGCTATGATGCTAACTTCACAAAAACAATGAAATAAAACTTTTCTGAAATTATTTTTTTACTGTTTATGTATCTTAGAGACGACAAGATGTTATGTGATGTACAAACATCTTATAAAATGCTGCTTTGAATTTTTTTCACATTTTTTTTTACAATTTTAAAGTTCAGTGCGCTAGGCCACAAAAACCACAAAAATGATAGGATTGTATTTTGTCTGTTTATATGATATTCAATACAAAGTATGCCCTTAACACTTCATTAAAAGCCGTTTAAATTGTTAGGCCGCTACAGTAGGTCGCTAACTTCACACATCTTGTCAAAAGAATATTTTAAAGGAGACAACATCCTGAAGAAGATTATACAGTTTTGAACCTAGAGAAAGGTTAAGACAGTTTTTTCTATAAAAATTGCTTGTACTTATTTAGACGTTTTGAACAATATTACAAAGAGAATGAAATAGTATGGTACATACAATTTATTCATTTTATTTGGGTAATGATAGGTCTCTTTTAGACTTTAAGTTACCACTCCTTATAACTGGCATACCTCTGTGTTCAAGTTTGGTCGTTTTTAAGCAGTAAAGAACATTTACTAAATAGAAATAAAGGTATCCCGAAATTGCAAAATTGAAAAAATTGCGAACTCTGTTATGGACGGTATAGGTAAATGGCAGACACAAAAGTGCCATTTCATGAACAACGGGGCGTTTGCTCCCAAAGTAAAAGAATGCATATGTCTTCGAGAAAACATTGAACGGTTCTTGATAAAATGCAATTTAAAAGGGACCATAGGTTAGGATGCCAGCGTATTACAGAGCGACGCTGTAATTAATAAAGCAGACCACAAATCTAATTAGAAATACCGACTAAGAGCAAATAGAATAAACTAAACATAATAATTATGTTGTGACGAAAGATCTTAAGGACATAAGAAATGACATTTTTGACTGCATGTACGGAGCGACACCACACGACACAATCAAGTCACATTTTGTTTTTTTACGGGTATAATCTTATTCAAAGCCAAGAGATACGTACGGAAATAAAGCTTTTTTTTATTTTTATTTCCTATTGTCAAAATATAGATAGGTAAACCCAAAGATGTACTTGCGCTTATAAGAATGCCTTTCACTAAAAGGAAATTTAATTTTTTACCGCAGAAAGATTGCCTTTGGTAGTTTGTCGTTTGTTTAAAATTGAACCGCGGGTAATTTTGAGCTTCACTTTGGAAGAAAAATGTTGAGGTATTGTCATTACCCACTTGTCGGCGTTGGTTAACCTTTTTTCGTTAACATCTTTGTTTACCCTGTTCGGTATCGTTTTTGTTCATGGTCAATAACTTCATTACAAACAAAGCAATAACATATGGATGTGACTTGATGAGCTTTACCTGTCAAACCGGTTTCTGTGACATGTTATAAGGAATACGTTGCACTTCAACTCGCAGAAATTACCAGAGCCACTAACTTCAAACTTTATGTTCTAGTTTTCTATCAACATAATTTTTATATCTCATGGAAAACTTATCCTATTATTAGTTTTTGCAAAGTTATGTCCCGTTTTTATTACATTTGTTTAATTAGAATACATTTCTAAATATCCAATAAACATAAAAGTCATTTTTTTTTTTGCTTAATATATCCCTTTTTATCTAGTTATATTTTTGTTATGTGCAAAAGAACAACAACAAAACGTTTATAATTTCAACTAAAATCAAGGTTGAACTTTAAGATACCACCTATGCCCCATGTATCCGACGCAATTCATCATATATCAGTGAAGCTGAAATTTCTAAATAACCCGACTTTCGGTATAAGCCCTTGTTACAATATTCAAGTCTATTTACTTACATAACTAGTTTAATTTCGGGAGCCTGAAAAATGCTCAGATGTCAGAAGCTTCCGGATTTTAGAAGTTTTAGAACTCAGAAGGCACTGTATAGGAGAAACATTTTAAAAGGTATTTCGAGATAGCAAATATGGGCCACAAACTGCGGTCACGTTCCCGAGTTCCTCTGTATATAAACCGTGATTTCATTTACGAATAATTTAAGATTTTTTTAAAAAACGTTTTTTTTTTACACTATTTGCTTTAATTTACCTTCACAAGATCGTGTTTGCTCCGCAATGTTAGGGTTGAATTTCTGCAAAAAAAACATGAAAAAAAAGACATTAAAAAGATGAATAAGATATAAAATCAATTTAATTATCATTTGATGTAAATATGCCCAGTTTTTTTCTTTTTCTTTATTTACATTCAATGAATGTAATATATTACACTTAAGTGACAAAATGTGTTAAGCTTAAGAATTTTGGAATGGAATGAAATATAATGGTGAAAGGTTTGATAAAAATCATCTTCAGATTCCGATATAACATTTGACAATGTATGTTAATAAATTCTTTTAATGTATTCAATGATAACTCATTTTACGGAGTTCCAATAACCATTATAACTAAAGACGGAATGTAAAATAATTGCTCAATATAACCTTCAAATAAAGATTAGTTTAAAAGCATTTGAAATAAAAGACGAATTTCGATAATTGCATACATAACAATGTATGTTTTGCTAACAGACATAAATAGCAAACGATGTTAGCTACAAAGATTTTAAAGATTGTATATCAAGTTTAAACGAATCCTTTCGAATTGCTAATACGATACATTTATTTCATGGTTAATATTTTAAGTATATAGCCGCCATGAATACAAATTATATTAAAGCTGCATGCTACCAGATGAGCGAAAATATTTCAATATAATCAAACCTGAGAAAAATGTACTAAGATTTTAGGAAAAGTAAAAATATTCAAGATTCAAGTAATAATTTACATGTTATGTGCGATTAATGACTGATTTTTCAGTATTTATAACTATATTTCTACTGCGTTACTAACGCAGTAAGGGCTATTTTTGCATATTTTGTCCTCTTTTTCGTAATTTACGTGGGTGGTAAGTGCCATTGATAATGTGTAAATTGCTTCCTTTTGGTTATTTCACTAAATAATACTTTTAAACATACATTTTCAAAATTTTCATGAAAATTAGCATGAATCTGGAGGCGTGCTGCTTTAAAGTCACGATCGTTCAATACAACGATCCAGTTAAATAACTGCTCATGTGTACCATTCCTTGTTTAGGTATAAGATATCGACCCAGTACGATGTCTATCTGTTAAGATAATGCCTTGTCACGGATTTCATGTGAGACCGAGAGCGCGTTGTCGATTTTCTAGGACGATACCCAACTTGCACCCGGTCAAACTATTGGCTTAAGCTATAGCAGACGATAACGATTCATGTGTCATTCTATCCGAAGTACTTGATGTAATGCAGAAAGATAATTTTAGCACGGAGCTCATACAGTAAACGCTTGTTTTTGAACATTCTGCTTTAATGAAAAACAAATTTGATCTAGCTCTGATTGTCAAACCAGTTCGCCGCTGTGGGTTTGAATACCCCAAGGGACTTTTGATTAATTCATTAGAGGAAGCCATCCAGTAAGCTTACGGAACGTTTGTCATTATACTCCGGTGACTGTTCGTGCCTGAAATAATGCACCTGAGGTCTTCCTCGCCACCTCGTCATATGACCTTTACAGCGACGTAAAACCCAACCAAAATCTCTGTTCTTCTTTAAAACTAATAACTAAAATGCTGAATGTGCAATTTGACTAAATTAAGTACTTGACATGTACCGTTATTATGTAGCATTCATTATAATAAAGCCCTAGCATTGGAGTTTTGCGGGGGGGGGGGGGTCAACAATGCTTTCACTACTTGGCACAATTAAGTAATAAACGTTGGCAGACTGTTAATTACTTTCATGGAAAAATAATATAGGAAGGCTGAAATAAGTTAAAATTCATCTTAAGTTTTTGATAAAAAGAATGTTTTGGAAATAATCAAACTTTTTGTTTTCATTTATTTTTTATTACTTTAACTTTTTGCTTTGTGTTTATGAACACAAGTCTAACTCTTCACATGTTTTACATGAACGGGTTCGACTGTCGTTTTGATGCGAAAAAAATCAACCACTCAGGCCTACGGACTTCGTGATTAATTTCTGCGCATCAAAACTCCAAACCGGTTTAAATAGCCGATGAACACCGCTTAAACTTTAGTGGCAACTTGCAAATCATTTAAAACGCCCAAACAGATCTATATCAGTATAATGAATTATCATTTACACTTTATCATATAGTACCTTTTTAAGACTGTTTGATATTATTTTCAAATTAAAAAAAAATCAGTAGTATTGCAACTCAGAAATATTTACTATTTACCTTTTGTCCAATAATAGCTGATAATGTGTACATAAACGGATTTAAAGCTGAATTAATAGGTAACACTAGAACAGCTGTCCAGGCATAAACTTCGCTAGGAATGGCGAAGCCACGAATTGCCAGTATACCTGAAACAATGAAATTTAAACTATTTATAACAGGGCCTCTGTAATCTAAATGAAAATACTTTATTTACATTGATTCAGAATAGACAACGTTCGCTAGCAAAGTACGGACACTGCAATCATATAAATAAATAATTATAGTACACTTATTAACTTACCCATTATACCAATTGGGAACCAGCAGAGAAAGTCGGTGGCAACAATAAGAAGTAAATTCCTTGCAACTTTCAAGTCATTATCTCTTGAAACCTTTTTTACTTGAACAGATGCGTGTTGCTTCATTTCTATATAAATCATCAACTGACCAATGGCTATTAAGACAAACATTACTAGGTTGAGCCCAATGAATATGGAAATAGAGTATAACCAGCCAGGGGGTCTTTCATCTGTTAACGGTAAGGCAAGGCAAACAGCTGTTTTGCTGTAAAATTTTCCTTTAAAATAGTCTTTGTAGATTTCTGGCAGAAAAGCAATCGTAAGTGCAAAAATCCAACAGGCAGCTGAAACATATGTTGCTGACAATGTACTGAATCGGACTTGTCCAAATGGAAACCTGACGACCAATATTCTATCTAACGTTATGAGACACATGAATAGGACGCTAGCTTCTGACGATGTGGTGGACAAGATTCCAGCAAACTTACACCATGCACTGTTTCGCCAATATTCGTCTACTTCTACATATCTATACAATCAAATAGATGCAAACATGTACACGAATAAACATATTGAGAATTTATGACTATCTTATAAATAAGTATTTGTAAGATATTCTATTGGAATAGACTCATTTGCTACTTCGGTTCAAATACATTAATAGAGAAATATGTTTTATACCTATTCCGGAAAACCTGATCAGCGATGGCAATTGTTAACATGTATATTCCCATCAGCAGGTCAGCAGCAGCCAGATTTGTTACAAATATCCCGTAGCCTAGTTTAAGCCTTTTACCATCATGAAAAAGTCGGTAGACTATAGAAAATACGTTTCCAGATAATGCTAATAATCCAAAAATCCAAAGAAGAACGCGCAATACAGCTCTGCGCATTAAGTCTTCACATGAGGAAAACTCATCTTTGTATGGAAAACAGCTGCTTTCCTCTACATAAGTAGGCCTTAAGCAACAAAATTTATACGCTGGAGTCTTTAACATCACCACACCATTCACTCCAGCAAAGAGGCCTTTACCGAAATCTATAATCGGATTGTTGTTGATAATAATAGTGCTTGCATAAAGTCCAGCAAAGCTGAAATCTTGAATTTCTTGAATTTCGTTATTTGAAATATCTAATACTGAGAGATTTAATCCTTCAAATGTATTTTTCTCCAAGGCAACAATGCCTGCTGCATTCAAATTTAATGTTTTTATTTGTAGTCCTCTAAATGCGCCGGGTGCTAATCTTAAATATCGTTGATTGCCTTTAAGAATGAATTGTCTTAGATGTTTTAATTTTAAGAAGGAATTTCTGTGCAATACTCTCAAAAAATTATAGCTTAAATCAAGTGTAACAAGATTTTCGAAATAAATAAAGGATTCGAAGTCGACCTCTTCCAAATTAGACAAAGATAGATTTAAAAACACTAGAAATGGGGAAGATATTGCAGTTTTCAAGACATATTTGCCTAGATGTATGGTATTACTGACATCTAATATTCTTGTTGATACTCCAATTTCGATTTTCGTAACTGATTTGTCAGCTCCTGAACAATTTACGACTGCAATGTTACAAACACAACCGCGTGGACATTGTACTTCACAATATTTTTCATCATCACTATATGGGCAATGTTTGATGCCGTCGCAAACTTGTACATTTGGAATACAAACTCGACTCATGCGACACCGATAGTTTCCCTTACAATCATATGATGACTCTGTTAAATAATCAAAGTTAAGAATTAAGTTGTGTTTGACAACGTTTGATATTTATATTGTTTAGACCTCAGCAAATGTGAAGAAATCCACATTACGAATTGTAGAATAAACGTACGTTTCAGCCTTAAAAACACGATACACCAAAGTATTATCAATATGTAATCTTCGACATTATTCAATTTTTCAAATTAAGTCACCATGTTTGAAGATAATGATCTATAGAATTATTTCCTATTTTCATCCAAAACATCATAACATTTGATTATGATTATAAGCTATCAAATTTAAATTTTAAGATTAAATTTGGATAAAGATACGTGTCTTATAGACTTATTTTCTTTTTTCATGACACATTTCATCATTCTAATTTTTTTTTATATCGAGTTTTACCCTATTTAACAGTTTCGCTGATATAGACGTGTTTTGACGGCCTCAAACAGTGATAAAAATCCTATTTAGGCCCCAAACACTGTTTTTCGTTTGAGAAATTTGTTTACCACTTTGTGACCACTTTTTCGGCGCCGCCCCCATCTAAATGTTACATCAGGGGGTTGCCAGAAGGGGGATGTGCCCCCTTCTGTTTAAAGGGTTTGAAGGGGGCGATAGCCTCCCTCTTCGCCAAGAAAATTTTGGACATGTGACAGGCTAAAAATGGCCTCAGGTCGATCTTAGGGTAAAGCCTTTAACACTTTCTCAATTCATTGAGAAATTGCAACACTTTAAAAGTCAGTTTTGATGGAAAAAACAATGCAAAATATTAATTTTTGGCAGTTTTGAGACGTCCCCCCGTTGCCATGGTAGTAGGAAATTTACGATTGAGCATGCTGTTACAGAGGCTACGGTCTAGTCAACATTTGTGCCAAATTTCATCAGTATTGAAGCATTTATCATAGTTTCATAGCAGTTTGAACTAGGTACAGGAGGCTTTTCAATTAAAACGGCCATTTTTCGCAATATGCTCATGGAGTAAAAGGTTAATCTCATAATGTATTAATTCTGTTCTATATTTGTATCATTCATTTGTTCTGAGATTTTTTAAGGGACTTTTATATTGATTAAATATAATAAAGCATTTGAATGTGACGATAAATTCTGAGTAAGATATATAAACAAATAAAAGCTATGTCTTACTTTTGCAGAGTCCTGGAAATAAAGTCGATCCTAGGTTGGTAATCATATTTTTATGTCTAATTTTTATTGTTGTTATATTCGTATCTTCATAAATTGACAAACTGATGTTCATTTGTTCGTCATAAAGAAGTTTATACCATTTAATGTCGTCGGCATATTTGTTAGGATATGCATATAAACTGTCTTCTAAAAACCTGTCTACTCCATCAGATATTCGAATGACTGATGTTGGTGCACCTGATGTACTTTCTAAAATTCGAGAAAGTGAATTTGCAAAAGGGATCCACGTTAGAATGGGCGAAATTGCGCTGTTAGAGTTAATATCAAGAATTGCTGTTTTCCCAATTTTCTCCATATCTATCAACGTTTTTACTGTGCTGTTCGATGTATACAACACATTTCCTAATCTTGTAACCATAAATAGTATATGAAGTTGGCCGATAAGGAATGCTTCTGAAGTTGAAATAATTATGTATCGCCTCTCGTTTTCATTGCAATCTTAAAAAGGCAAAACATATACTAGTAATCAGGTTCGCTTCAATATTATTTGCAAAACTTATCAAAGTAGTTTTGAAGAGCAAATTGATATTATAAGCATTTGCAAACCCATTAAATATCAAAGAGATATGTTAAGCAATATAAAGATATCACCGTCATCACGTTGTTAACGTGCATATATGAAAAATGCATAATAAACATATTTAAATTGCAATTACACAGTTTTGTATAATACTAATTTTCATATAATATTGGTCAAACGCCGATTTCACTTAATATAATGAGATTAATTTTTTCAACATTAAGGAAGAATTCAAGTAGTATTTAACTACTCAGTATATAAAAAGAAGTAAGGAAATTTATAATCCATTGCATTCGGACAACGAAATGTACCAATTGATGCCGAAACGAAACGTCGAGATTAAATAATTGCCAGTTTAATTTTCAACACCACACTAAAATGACGAATCGGTTTGAACTATTTGATCATTAAAAATTGCAAATTGACTTAGTGACCTAATGACACTAAATGTTTACCCACCACAGTTGTGCTCATCTGATCCGTCGCCGCAATCAATTCGACCGTTACAAACGTACTTAAGTGGCACACAGTAACTCAACGGGCATTTAAAGTAATTGTCTGGGCAAGAGAAATGTTCTACAAACAAAAACATTCATTTTACAATGGTAAACAATGCCTTTTGTATCTGGCTAAGATATCAAACAAATAATTTAAATATTACAATTTCAATATAAAATGTTTAAGGTCCGAATTGAGTTTTATCACAATCATCCGATAAAAACAGATTGATATGCGCATCATAAAGCAGGATGTCACGTAATGAATTCTGAAATTATTTTAAACATCGTCAGGGCAATGACATCAAACAAAACAAGAAAAGTTCGGTTAAGAACCTTAAATTAAATCATTTTAGGAATCTTTCCAATAAGATAACGCAAGTTCAGTTTCTCATTTTTACCTTAAACTAGCTCAGAGGATTGTATCTGAGGCTTTTTCCTCTTTCGGTAAAGTAAGAAAGCCACAATCAAACGATTGTGACACTGACAGTATGATATCAACCCTAACCATTTTTAAAGAAACAAACCGCAATGTTGTAGATGGTTAAAAGATCTGCAGCCAATTATTTTATCACCAGGATCTTTTTCATACAAACACTTCTTACTGGCGTCTACAGCTTTAACACCTTTACGGCATGGTATCTTCTTTCTTTTCAAGTCGGCATCTTCAATTTATCGAACAAGTGTATACGCAAAATTGTTACTTCAGTATTGATTTGGGAACGATAAATGCATTTTCATATACAAGAATACGATTTCTAAAAAGCGTCAATATATTTTGCTTTGTTGAACTACAATTCACTATTTCAAAACGACAGAAAAATTCCTACCATAATCTAATAATGTATTCTAGATTTTAAATATATAAATCCTAACCGTCTTGTTAGAGAAATTATAATATTTTCCATGCTATGAAACATATATATTGTATGAACTTTACTGTATCATAAAAAGTAGGCCTTTTTGAGTGTTTTAAATATTTTTCATATAATTCTATTATCATATCCATTTCATGAAATTTTATTTTAAATGATTGAAATATTACCTTTCTTACAAACAACAGATCCAATCGATAATCTGTTTTCGGGATGTTTAAAACTGCTCCCTATTAGTAGAGAAAAGATATGTGTTCTGTCTCGTATTGTTTGTGTCACAGAAAAAGAAGCATCAACTGATCTGAAAATGTTAAATGAACACGCGTTGAATAGTTCCAGTACATAAAATAAGGTATATTAACAAGTCGTCTTTGGGTCAATTAGGAAATAGTATTTTTTTTTTTAAAAAAGGGATAAGTGATAATTATATGGATAGACAATATGGTGCTAGTAAACAACAATCTGTAAAAGACTACCTGTCATCGGCGTTCTAATTCATAGAAAATCAACTGTCCTTTTTAGTATGATTTAATTACAAGTAATCATTGAACAGCACTACCATAAAGTTTTAAAGCCTGATGTTATAAATAAACAATTTGATACTGTTTAGATGGAAATTTACGCGTCACAAAAAATTGTGATTGTCAAAAAGGTTTGCATGCGGAAATATTTGCGAAAATATGATTTCTTGAATTTAATACTGTTATTGTTTTGCTACATGATAAATTAAGCAGGTACATGTTAAGAAAATGTCGCTATTATCATTTTATTTAGTTGTTTAATACCTTTATAACTTATAACATTAATACCACCTCCTTGGTCGAGGGGTTAGAGTCGATGACTTCCAATCCAATTACCTCTCTGGCGTGGGTTCGATCCCCGGGAGGTGCGTTAGTAGTTTAGCGCGGAGGAAGGTAGTCTAGTACATAACTGGTGTAACTCTCCAGGAAACTACCCGCCTATATGACTCAAATACTGTTGGGAAAAGGCGTAAAATGAAACAAACAAACAAACTTATATAATTGTTTGAAACATACATTGTTTGTTGAAAAAGGACCTGATCACACATTTTTTGTCATAGTGTGAACATTCTTTTGTTACATGTATTTTGTTATTAACACATGTATTGTTTCATTAAAACATTTTGTGTTTTCAATTGATAGGAGAAAGTTCGCCTAAAAAGAAATAACTTTTGCGTGATGAAACATTTGCGAATAATTTCAATTCGCAAAAATCGCAAATATTTTCAAGTCTCAAAATAAACCACTTATACAGTATATGGTTAGTTCCTTTTAGACTGAAATAATGTTTGTTTCTAGCAACTAAGATATTTGCATATGAACATTGACCTTCAAATGATAGAATGATGCCCCAGTTTCAGAAAAATCATGCGCTACTTCGGTTAAGATGGCGGCATGTAGTCTACAAATTTACTAGATTTATTAGCTATTTAGGACCTTTGAGGAGATAAAAAATGTTTGAATACGAAGAAAATGTTTTGGACTTTAAACTTCTAGAAGCATGTGAAGATAAATTGAACAATGAAATGGAAATAAACATGAATATTTGATATTCTGTTTCAATACAGTTATCTATTGAAAGTGAAATACTGTAAATTTAGTGCGTTTTTAACTAAGAAAAAAAAATCGTGGAAAGTGCCCGCCAAAAAGTTACGTTATCTTTTTTGAAAAATATACTCCGAGTGTTTTGGTGTTCTTTCTCTTTTGTATCATAGTCAAACATAAAAACACGTTCCCTGTTGTCACAATTTTAAACCCCGGGAAAAGGTTACCAATGAACGAGCATCTGAATATGATATTTCTGCCGCTTTCCCTTTCTCTGCCGTCACAATATGTAAACCCCAGCAAAAATGAGCCAATCAACGGGCATGATCTGGAGTGCGGGTAACTGATACCTGCACTCCAGTTACCGCACTGTGCATGTATATGTATACGATTTAACTCTGACACTTTTTCAACAGAAAGGTCCCCAAACTATGATACAATTAATAGTTCAGCTCTTAAAGTGTCAATTCAAGCAGAAGTATACTCAGCTCTAAATGCAACAGTCTCAATAGTGACAGGAATTGTTGACGACTTGCAATTACAAATAAATACCCTTCAACAGGAAAACGACGATCTCAAAGCAACGAACCTAGCCTTTACCCGAACTGACGTACTTGAACTGAGAGCCGACGCTGCAGAACAATACAGTCGTCTTGATAATCTGCGTATCATCGGAGCATCAGAAAATAAAGATGAAAACACCGACCAAATCATACTTGACATGAGCTCAAGCATTGGTACTGATTTAAGCTTAGATGAAATAGCTTTGTCACATCGTTTCGGTTAACCTCGATCTTCTTTCTCGGAAAACCTCGCAATTTCTTAGTAAAGTTCACCTCTCGTCATTCAAACGACACAATTCTGAAGAAGCGAGCTCTTATTAAGACTAAAGACCACCCAGAAACCTTTGTTAATGAAGATTTAACTTAAACTAGATCGGAACTTTTGTATGAAGCAGGAGAACTTGTAGAAAATAATAATAAAGAAATGACGTCCTTCTAACAGCGCCATAACATACACCTCATACAACCAGCCCAGGACTCGCGTGCTCGCAATAAAAAGATGATTTTCGTTGCAAGCCATTATGTCACGTGTAGAGCAAAAGCTCAATTGAATACCTGTGCATTGAAAAACATATATTATTTTTTTTTAAATGGAAATAGTTGGATTTGAACCTGTACCTGTATACTTGATAAACCGGCGCGCTACCACTACATTACAATATGACACTTCAAGTAGTATGGCAAATCAGTATTACAATATATTCATACACACATGACTTACCTTTTCTGAAGTGTACTGAACCATGTTATGTTTACAACGGTTCCGAAATAAATAAACTTCAACAGTATGTATTTGTATTTTTTATATTTATATTGCTGACCTACTAAATAAACTATCAATATTTGTTACCATTATAGTTTTGTAAAAGTAAAACAATTAATGTCTTTTAAACACATCAGTATCATATTAAAATATACATAAAGCCTGTTAGAATATTGCTATTATCGTATGAAAGAAATAACAGTTACTGTTTTTATAGAGTTATTATATCATATTAAGATGTTTACAAGATTTCTCAGGTTCTTACTTTTTGCCACGTTACTTCGCTGTTCTTCTTTCTTTTTATTAATCTAAGATTGAAAATAAATTGCGATGTGATATACCATCTTAAATAGATTCGCAATGTTTGAGATTATATTTATCTTCTTAGAAATCAGGATCATATATTTTTAAAGTAAATTAGCCATTAATAACCCATTAGAAATACGTATAAAGAATTTTCACAAATAAGGTAAAGCTTTACTCATCAATGTACATGTATGTATATTTGTGTATGTGTACATATGTATATGCATATGTATATGTGTGTATATATGTTAGCTTTATGTATGTATGCTTGAGCGTGCGTGCTTGCGTTCATGCGTGCGTGTGTGTGCGTGCATGTACATACTTTTGTGTGATTTTTTTTGCACTGTGTATGTATTCTTGCTTGTAAAACTTAAATGTTAAATGAAATAGAATTGAGATAACGCCAACAATACAATGAAATACAGTTTAGAAAACTCAAACAATACACATGCCGTATATTTGAGAATAGCTTACATGCAAATATAAGCATATGTATATTACTGGCAATTTTCCTTTGAATTCGCAATATTTTTGTGACTTTATTCAAGAAATAATTTCCTTGAAATAATTATTTTAAAACAAAGGAGTACATTTTGCAAATTGTCCCTATTTACTTTTCCTCTTGTGTTAGGAATGATATTTAACAAGAATTTAAACATGTTTTTATCTCTTATCATATATTTCTATCAAACTATTGAAGTACAATATGTGTCCAATAACTGTAGGTTACTTTTTAATAAGCTAAGGTAACTGTTTTCTTTTGTAAATAATATATATAGTACAATATCATAAATTATTGAAGTTACCATTAATTGATTGATCCTTTTAAAAATCACGAGCTACGCGTACAGTACGCACATTTTTCATCTTAACCTATGATGTTAATGCGCATTTTCTTCCTTTATATAGTTAATTTATCTTTAAGTTTTCATTTATGAGGTCATGCTTTCTTTACTTTCTGTTTTCGTGCACTTTATCTCCATTTATGTTCACTTTTCGTTTTCTCCTAGAATATTGTAAATGGAATGCATTGGATTCCAATTTCTCCTAGAATATTGTAAATGGAATGCATTGGATTCCAATGATAAATTTCTTCGTCATGATAGTGATAGCGCGCTTTTTGTTGTTTAAAACGTCAAAAAAATCTAAATGTTCAGGCACCACTATCATGCACTCATACTCCTGTACATGGAAATCTCCCATATTAGTGAATATGCTGGCTCCTCTACACATTGCTTTAAACATTATTCAATCATTCTCGCTGTCTCTTCACTTAAGAAATTAAGTTAAAACAATATAAAATATCCATTCAGACGGATCGATCCATGTTATGTTTGCTACATTTGAAACGTATTTTTTTATTCATATTATTATGATCGCTATACTCACCAAAATGGTATGCATTCAATTGCTGCATATTGTTCTTTATTTATTTGGAATCCTGGAATTATCCGAATTCTGGTCCATCATCAAGAAATTCTTCAACTGCATCATTGTTCACTACGTCGTATATGTCTTTGGATAAATAAGTCTAATGCCGTTAAGTTCTTGTTTATCTGTACAACAATAATTATTATAATGTCCAAAGCCTGCTTGGCAAAATAGATATTTTTACCCCTGAATTTAGTATGTTTGATTTTCTTGCGTTTTCAGTGTTTCCAATTCTGATATATCTATACCATATTTTCATTCTTAAGAAAGAAATGACAGGATTGATAAAAGTCATGGTGGTGTTTCTGTATACATTAGGTATTAACTATTTTACAAACGGCGGTGGTATCTTGAACCTAAATATATAGAATGTTTTTTGGTGGAGATTTTATTATTTCAATCTAAACGTATTCAGTTTGGTACTTTTTATCGACCTACTAAATGCAGATGCACGTTATACAATTTGCACATCGTACAACTCTTTTCGAACACTCTTAACTTGCAGTCAGCGAGTAATAACATCAGATGTTGGAATATCAGTTTTAACCAAAATATTTGCTATCACTGCCCTATTTTTTTGCTATTTTTTCCTTTTATATGCCTAAATCAGGATCTTTCAAGCGTTTTATATGGTTATATAATTGCGGTAACTACCACAATCTTAAACAAAGTA